ATTGGTACATAAAAATACAAGATTTCAATCCAATTACATTAAGTACCTAATAAAAGCTTTCGTTATCATTTACCGACGCCGACGTCTAGAAGTTTTTAATTTCTGCTGTGATAATTCTTTTTTTTTTTCATTTTTGTGAGAGCTAATATAAAAATTGGAAATCGTGCATTTCTTGGAAGCTGATAAGTCAGGATCGAAAAATCGACTGAGACGTAAAACAAAAGATAGCGGAGCGCCGAGTCGCTTAATTAATGATTAATTAATTTATTATAAAGTGTTTGATGAAAATACGGCTCTGTATGGGTGTAAAATTTGGACAGTGGGCGAATGATGAAACTACCGTTGATTAAAAAGGCTTGCAATGAGGAGATATTGAAATGTGTAGGATAAGGGCGCTGTACTAAAGTCAGAAAGGAAAAGGAGAGATGGTAGTAATAGATAGTGGGACACCTTTTGAGCCATGAAGGGTTATCTAGAGAAGCGGAAATAGGTTTATAGAGGAACAGAGGAAGACCCAGACTAGGTTACTGTTCTCAAATAATTAGATAGAAGAAGTGGATGTGCGTGTCCAACCAGTATTTGGGTTGATTCTTGTGGTGATTAGTTATAAGGCTGAAGTCTTGAAGAAACGTTTATGCGGAATTTAAGAAAAAGTAATTTCCTTATTCTGAATTGAAGTTTTCTTTGGCGTTAAAGATAGACAGCCCGTTGTACGAACACTTTGCGAATGAATTAATGTTATCTACTTAATAAAATAATATAAAATGTTTTGAATCATTTAATTATAGAAGAAAAACAGCAGGCGAGTTCTAAAAGACAATTTGTTATTTTATTTTTATAAAACGTTCGTGAAAGCGATAAGTTTATGACATATGCAACCTACATAACAAAGTAATGCATTTTCAAAATGATTCACTTTTTGGGTGGTTTTTTACTTTGAAGAAACGACCAAACTACAAGGTGATCGACTTCTACATTGATATACTTCTATATTGTTATTACTACTTATAAAAACATTCTGGTATACAAAGGATAAGTCGAAAGTCTTGAAAGTTAATGCATTGCTTTTCTGAGAGTTGATATACTGCGGTTTGTCGGTCAATTTTCAGTATAGAAGTTTACAAAAAGCGTTGTGAATAACTGAATTAAGGCTGATATAAAGGGAATATTGGAGGGTTGTGATTTAAGATTTTAATAGATTGAGGCATTTATATGGGGATGGGGCAATATACCAAGCTGGGAAAGAAGATTGAGGGTAGTGCAAGAGCCCAGTCTTCAGTGGCTTCCATATCTCCATACTTATAGTTTTTGTCTTTATTTCTCCGTCATCAAACTTCCTTATAAATCTCTGCACATTGCTTTTATTCATTGTCGCGCTTCGGTGAATATTCTTCAACTTTTATGAATCTCATAAAGACCGAAGTCCTTTTAAAAATTCATTTACAGGTGTCTGATTGTCTGGAAACTGTCTAGAAATACTTTATACACCGTTCATTTACTTTTGGTACAATCCGCGTATTAATGTTCTAATGATTGCCATTTTTTTTGTAACTAAAAGGTGAAAAGTGTAGGATGACTATAAGGCTAAATAACAAATTTTAAAAATCTTATAACGTCCGTCATTTGGAATCAAACATAGTAAGGAGGTAATGTGGTAGATAGAAAATGTAGTTTGCTTAAAAAAATTTGCTGTTTATTCATATGTTTGTTACAACCGACGTTCAATTTTTCTATTGTTTAACCGATGCTATTGTTTTAGTTACACCCTACTAATTTTTTTGCCGGCCTTCATTCCACATAATAATTTGCCATAACTTGTTCTCTTTGTTGATTCATCCGCTTTTTTATGTGCATTCCTAAGCGAACGTCTCATTCAAATTACGGTTTGACAAATTTTTGCTATATTTTTATTTCGCTTGGATGAACTTAATTTTAGCAAATAATTTTTGGTATACATATTTTTAAATTGCATCATTACACATATTGACTTTAGAAGTATGTTGAATAAAATGTAATTTGTAGATTGTTTTTAAATAATAAATAGGACTTATGATGAGAAAAAAAAAACGTTGTGAATAATTGAATTAAAGGTATATGTTTGGAGCACGGCATTGTACGGGTGCGAAACATGGACGGTGGGCGCGGCGGAAAAGAAAAGGTTAAAAGCGTTCGAAATGTGGTGTTATAGGCGGATGATGAGGATATCGTGGGTAGAAAAGGTTAGAAATGAAGAGGTATTGAAAAGAATAGGAGAACAGAGGACTATATGGAAGTCAATAAGAAATAGGCGAGATAGGTTAGTAGGACAGCTACTCAGGCATGAAGGTCTAGTCAGAGACATATTAAAGGCAGAAACGGCAGTTAGAAGGGGTAGAGGTAGACCTAAATGAGATTACTGTTCGCAAATAGTTCGGGATTTGGGTTGTTTTAGGGAAATGCGAAGATTAGCTCAGGATAGGAAAGAGTGAAGGTACGTGTCCAACCACTCTTAGGACTGACGACCTTATGATGATGATGAAGAACCCTAAATAAAATAGTTTCAATCATACCGTAAGTCGACCATTGTAATATCGATTGTAGCCGTCAACTTTTGCTTGACCGTTAAAAATTATCGGTNTTTTAAATTTATTAGGTACTTAATTGAATATTTGAATTGTTTTTAAAATTTGCACGCATTTTGTGCCCTCTATTATGTTATATTGTCGTTAGAAACAGAGAGAATTTAATCGTAGTGAGTCCTTTGTAGAAAGTTCTTCTAGTTTGTAAAAAATGTAGAAGATGACGCTCGTTGTATGTTGTGGGTCCCATTTTAGATAAAATTGTAATAATAATTCATGTATATTCATAGGGGGGACCATATTTTTCCGACCCAATGCTGGACGGATTCGAAAAAAAAGCGGTATCAATATCAAAAAATTGTACGTAGTAGTAGTGTAAGGAAATTTATAAATCAAAATCCTGAAATTTTTAATACTTTGTCAATACATGGGATATTAGCAACATTTTGTTGTTCATTAGTGCTGGAAGCATTTTTAATCTGATATATTTCTAGGAGATCCAATCTCTGATCTTTGAGCTGGAGATTGGATCTCCTAGAAATATTTGGTACTAAAAATCCCTGAAACTTGCATGCAAATGCATTGACAAAGTATTATAACTTTTATGATCTTGATTTATAAATATACCTACACTATTGTATAAATAGGAAGGTGGAATGTTTAATAAATTAAAGACTTGTAACAGTCCCAAAATAGTTGTGGAGTAAATTTTACATGAGAATGAGCAATTATGTTGCTTGATTTATCTATTTATTTTGTACTATTTTATTTAACATATATATTCAACAATAAATTCAATAACAAATGATTAAGGATCCAGTAGCTTCAAGTGAAATGCCGATGTTCATTGCTGGATATTATTGTTATTAAGTTATCTAAACTGTAGAAATATACGACAGCAAAATTTCATGCGTATTAATTCATGGTTTTTGATAGAGTTCGCAGGAATATTAATTTGATAAAATGCAATACAATTTAATGATAGTAATTGCTGTCCTTTATCGAGATGAAAAGAAATTTTTCTATTCCTCGGGAACAGAATTATTTTCTGGATAAAAGGTATTCTATGTCCTTCTGACAATGTGTCAACAAATTTTCGTAATATACCAGACAAACTCACATTACCTAGTATTTCTAATATTATTTAGGATTAACTGACTACGGTATTCTATTTTTAAATAAACGTAGTTCCATATAGTTTACTCGACGGTGTATAACTAATCAACTTGAAGTATATAGTATGCTAGAAATTTTTTTTTTAAATTATCTTATATTTTAAATTTATTATGCACTAATATTATGAAGCTTTTCTTGTATGGTATGAACTAGTTTATTTTATAAACCTTTATTTAGTTATAATTGTTGTTTTTACTATTTCAAGCTCGGTCGCAGTTCTTTCATTTCAAATTATTTCATTTATTTTTTCTGGGCTTTATTTTATTCGAATGCTTGCTATTCAAACGAACTTAAGTAAACTCTATAAAATCCTTCGTTCTTAATTAAAATGCCTTTTTTAATTTTTTGGTAGTGCGGTGTTTTTTATCCGTTATTTATGCAGTTTAATTCGAAATATACGTTCACCGACCTTATATACTAAATTAGGATGGTTCTATTCGTATGAAAGTCGGCGTTTTAATCTAATAAACTAAACAGTTTGAATTCACAGCGCCGTCTGCTAAATTGTAATCGTTTTCTTTTTTCAAACT